GGATCACAACAGGCCTTGATCGCTCCAGTGCCCAATCAAGACATCTGGATTCCAACCACCATTGATTTATCATGGTATTTAATTTACTGCGCAACCGCTTCGAACGTCACCAGCCTCGCTACGCGAGACATAGTGCAGCTATTTTTGAATGAGGATGTTTAGAGTTTTACACTACAAAACCAGGTCAGCCAGTTCTTTTCTTGGCCAGGTTAAAGAGCTGTCTGGACCGCTTCACCGAAGCAAGCCAGGTCTTGGGGAAAGAAGAACACACCACTCGTGGTCGCTCGTGGTCTCCCAGAGTGCAACGCCAGAGCAATGAGTTTCCTCGGACAAGACTTATCCAATCAACAAGTACGCTACGTTCCGGTTTCTACTTGACACCTTCCGCCAAAAATCGCAATGTCCCACTAATGCACCAGGCTCTGAAGAAGAACAACCAAGGCAACAAAGGGACTGTCCTTGGCTGATCCTGTCTGGGCATTCCTTGCATGCTGTGCGGCGTGGCAAGCCACACAAAGCCGCCCAATGCCCCTTATCATTCCCAATCACACGCTCCTGATCTGAGCAAATCAGATTCGCCAGGTGCACCAAGATCTCGGAAAAGAACGACATCCAAGAATCGTCAGGTGCATCATTTGGAAGGGATCATCCGCTAAGGCTTCCAGTCGTACCCTCTGAGAAGTACCCGAAACATTCCATGTACGCCATATATGCCTACATTGGGGGGGCTATACCTACAGTAAGTCTGGAGTGGTGGGTATACGTCCCCTAGGACTCCAGCCGTACCTTCTGAGGTTCGGTGGGAGGGACGGGGTGGGTGCCAGGAGGGTCCAGTCATCCCGAACCTGCGGAGGCACGACTGGAGCCCTAGGGATCAAGTTTGGTGCTATGGTAGTACCTGCCGTTGGAACTCCAGTCCTGTCGTTGCTGAGATCTTAGCCACGGAGCAGGCCAGGGAGACATCGAAGCTGACAGTTGACCCACTGGAGCCAGTTTCCGGTCTTTTTGAGGGGTCCTCAATATGCAATTCAATGTGTGTATATATATAGCCGGGGGGGGTAGGTCGCTAGGAGGTAGGTAGTAGCTAGGTAGGTAGCTACTATCTGCCATAGCTCACGCTTCTTCAAGGAAGCTCCCCCCCGCCGCCTTGAGGGCGGCGGCGGGAGAAGCTTGTTTGAAGAAGCGCTCGCATTAATGATTTGTTTCCGAGACCTTTAGGGAAACTTAACTTATAGATAGGACCCTCCAAGGGGTGTCTATGAATAGCCCCTTAGCTGTTAAGGGGGTGTCCATTAACCACCCCTTGAAGGTCCAGGTAGATAGGACCAGTATCCACTGTGTTCTGTCCTCTCTACTTTGACACTCTCGTTGAGTGGTTTCTGCAGGTCACCTGCTGCAGGTCAGCTGTTCCTTCACGTCCGATCAATGGGGCAACATGCCGCTGCCGCCTGGGGATCGTGCTCCATCCCACCACCTCGAAGCTTGCCTTGCTCAGGGCGTGCCTTCCAATTCCTGCATTGCCGCCCCTTCCAACGAACTTGGAATCTCTGATGACATGTTCTTTCCACCAAAAACATGGAATCGGCACATCCGGACCAAGCAGTTCCAACGCGGGTTCGTTCAGTCCGGCCCAGTCAGGGGGTTCGTTCCATCATCAATCAGGTGATTTGATATCACTGATGGAGATGACACCGGTAAATCAAGCTTCACAACCCCGGCGAGGGGATGTTCCAACCCCAACATAGCTTGGTGTAGGTGAGAGTGTATCCCAAACCCCTTTAAGGATACACCATTGGATTGTAGACAAAGCGTCTGAGAGGAGTCTCGTCTTGACTGGAGGACGCTTCACGAAGGATCTCCGGACCAAACCACCCAGGTCCCCAAACCCTAGGGATCCAAGTACCTTCTCAGAAGGTACGACTGGACCCTCAAAACCCACATAAGAGTGTCTCCAATCACCTTCTGAGAAGGTACTTGGATCCCTAGGGAAATGGATAAACATGTGTTTCCAACACATGTTCCAAAGAGATTTCACTGTCTATCTATTTGGGGTCCACTGGCTAGTTTCACATCATCAACATAAACTGAACTAGACTGCTACTTGACTCGTGGGTCTCACGTGAGGATTGTCAAAATATGATGCCGCTGACTAGGCATCCATTCTGTTTCATCGAAAGGGTCTTCCTTTGGAAGACCCCATTGTTCTGCGTCTGATCCAGGACATCTGTGCCTTTCCACCTATGCCGCTGACCGAATGCTGCACCATGAACATCCAAGACATCAAAGTCTTAAGCCGTCTTCAGGATGCTCATCTAAGAACATCTAAACTGGGAGATGGAGGGTGTTGCTTGCTGACTCACAGCTGCAAAATATACCTAAGGTTTTTTTATAGTTCAGGGATAAAATAAATTGCATCTATCCGAAAAGACCCTGTTTGGAGTTGGGGTGAAAATTCCTGACCCCGACGCTGGGATGAGGCTGTCATCGGTACTACCAGGTCCTACCACGGCCCGTTTCTTTGGGAGAGGCATACTTGATTTATCCCAACCGCTCTGGCTACTGCAATGAAAATAACATTGCAAAAATCCCAAACCACCCAGCTTGGATTTGCTGTGGAGTCTGTGGAGGAAGCTGGGAAACAATCAAACCATATTCGCCAGGGTACGGGATTGGTCCAAGGGAACGATTTTCCAAGTCACCCGATCAACCAAACATCACAAAACCATGACGAGCAACACCCGTTTTTGTAGTTATTGCTGTTGGACCGATTTATGTATACTTAGAGCCTGAGTGATCCCTGTTTCGGAGGATCAACTTTCCAAACCATGGCCTTTTCTTATCAAAAAGCGGGTCAAAAGGGTTCTCTAGGGATATATATATATACCCTGGAAGTCAAAGACCATTTTTAAAACGGTTGATCTGGCTTTGTAGTGAACAACCCTTGGTAAAACAATGGTGGTTCGACTTCTAGGGTATATATATATAATATATACTCTCTCCCTCTCTCTCTCTGTCTGGCAGGCGTGACTCGTCACTGATCCATCTTCTATTGGACCTTTCTCCGTGGACACAATTCGACAGGTTGTATTGCCAGGGAAGGGCATCCACTTGAGATTTCAGCCAGTGCAATATATGAGTGCCACAGTATAGAAGGGCACCCACTTGAGATTTCAGCCAGTGCAATATGAGTGCCGCAGTATACTGGGCCTTGACAAAGTTCTACTTTTGTGGTTGATCTTGAGTCGGGGGCCAAGGATTTGTTGTTGTGGAGTTATTTTTGACCGCATTGGCCATGCGACTAAGCACTTGTGCAAGAGTCATCTCTGAAGATGTGCAGGAATTCCTGGCAAAGAACGTTGAAGAACCGTGACCTTCCTCCAACAAGACTAACACATGACGACTGGGACCATGGGCAATGACGGTGCCAATTCCACGGCATTCGAAGCCTTGAATGGAAAGGCATGAGCGAGCGAGGCTCGTACGCTCAATCCTGGAGCGCATTGAAAAAAAGAACTTCCGAGAAGCATTTTTGCATTTGCCGATGTTACGCAGGGTCAAATCCAAGTCACGGATGCTGTGGTCCCTTGCCATGTTCGAGTACACTGATCATCAACAATGCTGCCTGACATAAGTAGTTTCTCTAACTTCCTCTAGCTTTTCTGGTCTGATAAAGGGTCTGCAATGGTCTGGAGCAAGTTCCCTTCGACCCCTGCATGTTTCACGTCTGTTTAAGTAAGTAAGTTCAGCCGCCACGATCTGCGATGCACCCTGTGAGGCCCCTCCTTCAGCTTTCAACTTGTTTTGACCAAACAAGTACGCTCTGAGGACCATGAGCACTCGGTGAGGACCTTACGACCTTACCGAGGACTTGGTATACGCCTTCAAGAACAAGGACCACGAGGTGGCTGGATCCAATGGATGGCTGGAGTATCACAGGTATACCCTCCTTTTCAAATCACAAAGTGGAGTGAACACCACCTGTTTACACGGGAAACAAGTCTTATCAGAGTCAATGTTCACTTCCATGTTCCTGAGTCAGAGTGTATCTCTTGTGAAAGGCTGACCTCCTCATTCCCATTCATTCCCTATACCAATCGCCAACCTGTTCACGCTTAAAAACCGCTCTTTTCCACCGAAAACTGGTCAAGTGGACGAATCACCATCTGGCCTGAAGCCTTCTCAAGCATCCCCAAATGCGCCCTCAACCCCCTGGGTATTTGAGAATCGAAACCCCTCCATATGAGGGTCAACGAGCGTCTGGGTCCAACAAACATGCACTGCCCAGGGCATCCAGTTACCACTATAGCTGGTAACCAGTGGTTCCAGTTCGACTAAAACCAGTTCGACCGAACGGAACCCTGCTTCCTGATAGACGTGGGAACTGCCTGGGATGTACTGGTGATTCGTCCACGAGTCCACTGCTCAGTTCAAGCGCCCCCAAGGTCATGGCATTGAAGAACCGTTGACCAGACGCCCCTGGAGGTCAACTTACCAGGCTTTTCAGGGCTCCGGGTGCGCGGTGCCCCCCATGTCCCAGCTAGGGTACAGTCTGCAACGCTTGAGCAGAAAAATGCTCCAAAATGAACAATTGGTTACCAGCCTTGGCTGGAACTCGCCTGCATCCTGTCATCTAAAGTCCCCCAGTGCTGAGCACATCCGAGGAAGGCATGCACATGCCTGTCATTCCTTCACTGTTTCTCTGTTTAACAGCAGGTTCCCTCTAGACCATGTTGAGGTCCTATAACTAACCCTTTAAACCCAGTAACTAACTATCCAGCCTTCTTGGCCAGTAACCATCCAGCCTTCTCGACACACGTTCACACCGCAACGAAGCGAAGTGATTCCTGGAAATGTGTCCCAACAGAAAGGTATCTCTTTGCAAAACATAGTCAGTGGCTGCGATAAAGAACCTAGAACCGGACAGCCTGCCATGATATACCTCGAACTCCTATCACTTCTAGAAGATTTAATGTTAATATCGCAGTGGCATCAAATGCAAGCTAATTTATAACCTGTCCTTCACGCGCCCAAAAACAAACATGGAACCTGGTCAGGAGACTTGCACCCTGAGTCCGTCAAATTTGTCCGACTTCACGCTGCACCAGCGTTCTTCAGGGTCCATTGGGATTGTCTTCAATGGCCAACCTCTCTGAGCTTACCATGCCATGTTGCAGCTCGGAGGGTCTGCTCAAAGGTCATCGGCTGCTCTCAGAGAGTTTCGATCTCGACTTTTGGATCCTCCGGTCGCGTCGCGGGCACGGAATGGTGCGTTAGATGAATGGATATTTGTACATTAAAGAGTGATAAAATGTTTAAGCAATGTATATAGTTTTTGTATCATACGGTGTGGTATCCATATATTAAATTGTGGATGAAAGAAGAAACATACGGTGTGGCATGAGTCCTGCAAAATACTGAAAGCAAACGATGCCTGGCGTGACCTAAATGGGACACTCTCGCAATTCTCTCCCACTCTCTCTCTAGACTTCATGTGGGACAACACAACAACCCACCAATATCCAAATGATGGCTGCACATGTTCCATGTTTCTGGACCAGAACCACTCTGTAACTAGATGTGCTCTGCATATATAAAGATATACATGCAGCATAATAATATGTATATATTATATATATTATATGTATATTATGCCTAGAACCTGGTTGACCCCTGTTTTGGAGCCAAAGCATGGTCTTTTCCTATCAAAGCATTAGTCCCATCTTCGAAACGGAGGCCAGGAGCCCCTGTCTGACTTCCTGTCCAAGCGTCTTGATCCTGGACCTCCGCGCCACGGGCGGTGCTTCGCGCTTGGAGCTGTTGAGGCGTAGGGCATCCAGCTTCGCATTGATCCTTGGACCGTCCACGCCGAGAACTGCCCAGTTGGTCCGTCCGAGAACTGTGTCGCGGCTGTGGCGGTCCAACAAACGCGTGATACTCGTGGAACATCATCGGATGCTGCGATGGGAACCTATAGGTGCCAATCAATGTCTTACTTCAACCCTGGGGTTGCCGCCAAACGCCTTTAGTGAGTGACCAGTAGGACCCACAAGTGAACATGCAACATGCAAACACCACCTGGACCCGACTTGAAGTCCGCTAGAAAGTGGGAATCAACCCTATAAAAAACGGAACTACACTCCCGAAAACTAACATGAAAGTGGAAAACCACATGTTTGTAGTGGAAAATGGTCTTCCAAGGGACCATTTTCCACTTCCATGTTAGTTCCAGGGAGTGTAGCAACCATTTTCTGTGTACTTTAAAACTCCCGGCACCGATAGAGCAACATTGGAGTTCGAATCCTCACTCCCCACTGCTCCCACACCCAAGGAGGCATATATAGATTCTGAGATTCTGGTAGCATACAACAGGAAATCATGCCATCTGCTCACTGCAACAAACAGGACTGCAGCCAAAACCTTTGCCGCTCAAGTGGTTTTTCTCTAGGGCTCCAAGCACCATTTTGGAAGGTAGAGAAAATCTGCCTGGCACCCACCCCCCAACGCCGAACTGAAATGGAGGTAGGCCAGGAGCCCTATCCCTAGCCATTCCACTGCTACCCTCCAAGCCTATACATGAAGCTCCCTCCACCTCAAAGGGTATGTTGATCCATCCAATTTTCAGTATATAGCTATTTGTTTGCTGAGAAGAATCAACCAACATCAAGCCAATTTCGCAGGCCACCTTCCAAAGCCAGGACTCACCAGGGTGTTGTTCACCTTGTTCACCTTACCCGGTGGTCTTTCACCTCAATCCTCATCCCAATTTCGCAGGGTGATGCTAACCCGGCCTGTTTCCCGCTCAGCTACTGATGTTCCCCGACCAACTGCAGCCAAACCCTTAGTAGGAATGGGAGCTTGATGGGGTAGTGCTTGGTCCCTTAATCAGCTTGATTCCAACTTTCCCTATCAACATTTAGTAGGAATCAAACTCCCAAACCTACCCCTGCAAGAAAACACTTGTTCGCCCAGGATGGCATGATCGCAGCTCAGGACTCTGGTAGCATTCCATCATCAGCAAATGCACATCAATGCCCTTGGCCTCACCTCTCATCCGCTCGCAACCGCTAATGAACCTGGAGCTGTGGGAGTCCACCAAGACCATCCGATGGCCGATAGCCGCACGGCGGGAGTTAGCTTGTAGAACAATGACCGACAGTGAGCCCAAACGCGAATGTGGGCCCGGATCCTCTGGAGGGGTCTGAGGTCTCAAATCCGGTTTTGAGGGACCAGTCGGGCTGTGAACGGAGCGACTGGGAGATATCGTTTTTCTATGGACTTGTTGATGGGCAATTTCGCGACCAAACAGGTCTTACAAGGTTTGACATCTTCATGTGAGGGGTTCTTACTATTAACCAACAATCTTACTGGATGGATTTCCCTAGGTGCTTGATGGTTCAAACTTGGCCAACTGGTGTTGAACTAGACCGAGCTCAAAGCCTTCTCACCGTTCAAAGGCGGGTAGGCTGGCACAACAAAGCAGAACGTTTCACCTGAGTGGGGGTTGGTTTCCCCAATCCCCCAAACCAACCCTAGGGATCCAAGTACCTTCTCAGGTACGGTGATGTGTTCGACACTCTTATGTGTTTTTTTTTGAGGGTCCAGTCGTACCAAACCTGAGGTTCGGTACCACTGGATCCCTAGGGCAAAGTATGTTGGATCGCCTACACCTTGGTAGGTCCAAACCAAGCCAAACCAGGGTATGGTCCATCGCAAGCATCCCAAAAACCGTGCGGTGTCCACTGTTCATCCCCCACGTCGCGACTCCGAGGGGCGGAATTGACGCGGTGCACGCACGAAAGCACGACACATATGCAAAAAGGAGCCTATCAGAAGGACACAATTTGGCGCTCTATGCTTTTCAAGTAATTATATGTTGGGTCACCGGGTCTATATTATTATGTGGGCCCAGTGGATGATGATGGTTAGTGAAGGCCTTGTTCCAAAATGATGATACTTGTTAACTGACTGTTGCAGGTCAGAACGGACAGACCCTAATAGATATGCTCTGCGTTGACGTTACTGAAGACGTTACTTCGGTCACATTGGTCACAGAAAACACGCTGCTTCGGTCGGAAGTCATGAAAAGCGAACCCTTTGGTGAGATCTTGGGCCCAACTTCTAGCAGCTCCTTCCAGCCTCGATCCGGTGACAGTCCCCGAAAAAAGGGGTTCCTATCCCATATCCGGGTTCGGTGGTTAGACCCCCTAACCACCCACCCCAACCACCTTCGAAACGGAGGCCAGGAGCCCTAGGGGTCTTTCATCCAGAATTCCAGCTTGGGAATCCTGGACTGTGCGGATGAAACCTCCCCCACCATCGGACAGCGCGTCCATCGCGGCGCATCGGACCCACCGGGGGGTCCTCGGACGCCGAACTTCGGCCACGTGTGCTTAAAGGCGAAGCAATCACAGATTCAGTGAGGTTGCAGAAACCAAGATAAGGTGAGCAAGCTGCACTTGCACCCTGTAGGTGAAATTGAGCACCACGACTTTCAAATCAGTGCCCTCTTCAATTGCTGAGACCCGAAGTGTGTGGATGTTCTGGCCTTATATGGATCCACATACCTTCTCAGAAGGTAATTGGCCCCCCTGGCGCCTACATAAATAGTCTCCAATCACCGTACCTGAGAAGGTATGTGGGTCCATAGGGTGGGCATGCCAACATGCCAAAACACACCATCCAACAAGGCATGCCTCCAGAACTTCAGGCATGCAGTGTGTTTGGCGACCCTTACTTTTGAATCGCTGAGTGTGCTCCGACTCACACCATCTTGAGAAGCCCCTGGCAGGACGCTGGTCTGGAATGCGAGGGGTGTTTGAAGCGCAGCTTCCAAACCTTTATATAAGGTAGAGTTAGATCTACTACTCGCTATGATCTGGTGCGTGATGTGGGGAAAGCAACATGCTTCTGGCACCAGTCGCCGCCGCACAAAAATGAACAAACACCCACTCTAGGGGCGCAAAGCAATGGATTGTCAGCCTCAGCAGGCGTCTAACCTCCTTCGCAGCCTACGCAGCAGGACATGTCATCCCTTTTTTGGTTGTGGAGTAATGCCACGGACCGCCGTGCAATCACCCCAGGTAGCTTTCAAGCATACGCCATATACATACCTCCTACATTGTCCAGCGGATGCGAGCAACCATGCTACATCATTATGCTGCTGCCAGCATTGAGTGACACCCAACATCAGAACTAGAGGTCGGCACCGTCACCTCAAGTGCAAAAACCATCAGTACTACCACCAGTTGGACCACTTCTTCTGGTCGCCCACCTGCGCCTGAACCCCCTTAGCAAGGACCAGGTCCAGTTAGCTCGTGACTTCCTTTCAACTGGTATGTGAAGTGAGGTGGCTACCACGAGACCCAGCAAGGGTTCACTGAAGAGCTGCCGTCACTGCGGTCAGCAAGGTGGAATTCAACACCCGCGCTGCCGGCTGCACCCAAACACGGACTTCATGAGAGTGGAATATACAACCATTGAAGCCACCCCAATATATTAAAAGAATATCCACCAGGACCATCAACGTTACCTCTTTGGAGTCTCTAAGTGGCCTTTAACAGGCCTAAGTGACCCCATCCTGGGATCTCAAAAGGTCAGTTTGAAGGTCCTGGCAGGAGTCATGAAGGGGTGGGTATTTAGTTCCTAAGTGGATCATGCGTGCCCCTATCCTCCATGAAAAGCCTCCCCACAATATGTCAGGGTGATAGACTCGGTCTCTGGTGCTTCTCGGACCCGAATCCGGCACGAGCTCATGCGGGCTGAGCCGGTTCCGGATTCAACGACGAATCCTTCACCAACAGGAGCACTTCATGTTGCATGAAGGGCACTTCACAGGATTTGGCCACTGGGCTACAAAACATCAATTCTCCATCAAAGAAGCTCGTCCAAGGAGATGTCGCCGGAATTGTCATAATCCAGCAAGTCCTCAAATGAATGGCTGGATAGTCTGGTGATAGTGTTCCAGAATGTTCGGCATCTCGTTCATGATGAATTCCACCATTATTGCTTTTCCTTCAGCATGTGAGCATGTGTTCCAACAAAATGCATGACTGTTCGAGCGTTCGCTGTTGATATCTCATGCACATTTCTAAAATTTAAGGCGATGTTCTGCACAGTATATCCAAACCTTATTATACCGGGCCCTGCAAAGGGATAGGTCCCGATGACAAAAAGAACTGGTTTTGTTTTCGGTGATTCGTGGTGTTCACCCCTGGCAGGTGGGCGGTGAGCAAGTCTTCATCGTCCAGGCGTCCGCCAACAGCTTTGCATCTCCGGGTCTGAAGCCGATCATGTCGAAATAGGCCTCTGCTTGACTTCTGCCCTACAAGTCCGACTATATGTTGACCGACTGAGCAAAAGGACATGATTAGACTCAGGTCATCTAAAAGCAGTTCTGTTTTATAGCCTTTGACTCCCAGGGTTTGTCTAAACCCGAATACGGGCCATCACGAAAACACATCCAAGGCCAAGGACCCATTAAGGCTGAATCACCTCCTTAGGCTCCTAATGGGATAGGCTAATGGGATGGGACCCATTAATGCCTCAGACCTTCTTAGGCTCCCGTCCCGAAGACGGAACTTTGGGCGCATGGCCAAGCCATGAAACCACCCGTTGACCACGCCGTTCTGGGTCGTGGGGATGTAGCTGATCATGACTGTGTCTTGTCATACTCAACGCTGCTGACCCACTTGTTGCTGCCTGTTTTCGCCTTGGACCGTAAGGGACCAAAGGCCCCTTGACCTATGGCCCCTCGACCACCCTCTTCGGCGCGGTCCGGTCGAGGAACCGGACCAGGATCCTGGAGCGGTCGACCGGTCCCACCGACGCACACCCCGAGGTCGACCGGTCGTCGGACGCCGGACGCCAAGGGCACGCTCATCATGGGATCCTCAAGCAGAAATTGAATCTCATCAGCGCTGATGGTACCATCACCTGGCCCGAAAATCGCCAGCGCTGGCGAATGCGCCGTGGCACAAAACGAGGCAGTTTTGATCCTTGAGGCAAGGTATCAAGGTGCAAGAAGTGAAGTCAATATTCCATTTTTTGTGTATACCTAGTCTCCCCAAACCTCCAAAACCCGGCCGACTCGGACTCTGCGCACCACCTGGGGAGTTCAGGCCCTTCACCTTAGTGCCTATACTACAGTTATCACTGGATGAGTTGCGCATCTCCCTCCCCCACTTCAGTCGGCATCGATCGAATCCGCCACTCGAATCCGCGCACGCTCCGCCCGCGCACCGTTCGAATCCGTGGCCACGAAGAACTCGATGATCTGATCCTGCCGCTTCGGGCGACCACCAAGGGCAAACCACTTTTGAACACATGGGCACGGCTTTTGGTTCGTTCATGATGAGGGTGTGCAAAGGAAGGAATGCCAAAAAAAACGCATACTGCAAACATGTCATATACAACAAATAGTATTCAGGGAAACCGTCCACATTTCCATGGTTTGGTGTCACTCTTGGAGGCGGCTGCTTTGTAGGGCGTCCAGGAAGCCGGTAACACATATGTCAAATGGTCTTCCAAGGGCCATTGTCCACATCTATGTTAGTTCCAAAGAGTGTAATGGGGATTCACCCAACCAGGGAAATCAACCATTGCCGCCCCAAAAGGCGAAACGAAGGAGTCATTCAGTCTCGCCATGCAGTCCAAGGCACCAAAGCAGTACGTTTCCGGTCGATGGTGTCTTCCTCGAAAAGGACGGGCAGGACGGGCTGCTATCTTGTTGCCCGTGATGCGATGGTGTCACCCGCAGGGGAAGGACACGAATAAACATATCCACAAACAAATCTCCCCAAACACCCGTGGTGTGGCAGATTTTGCCGAGATTAGCGTTTTTTTCTTGGCTCAATATTAGGGCATCTATCGATCTGTTTATTTTATCTATCTATACCCTATAGACCATCAAACAAATTAAAAAAATGGTTGGCCTGATTTGGTAAAGCCCGTTAAAGTAATATAACGCTGCAGCTCAGTCACCTCACAGCACAACCCACTGGGATGTTAAGACCCCTGCATCGAAGACGCGGTGACCCCTCGTCCTTAACCTTAAGCAACCATCACTTGGTCGACCTCTCCCATGAACAACTGGAAGTAACTGAGTTCACCAGCTGCTTGGTCTTCGGACTTCATGGTCATCCGAAATCAGGGAGTGAGGGTCGTCTTTAAAACTGGATAGGTCACTGGGAGCCTCGGTCAACCCGGCCCCGGCAGCCTCGTCACTGTGCGTCTCCTGGAAGCCTCGCCTACTCGCCTCGCCTCTCCAGTCGTCTGGCCAGGCGGCAATTTGAGTCTTGCGCTCCTTCTTGGAATTCTGCAAGGCATTGTCCACGAACACACCTGCTCCAACACACAATTCGCAGTCAAATGCTTCTCAAACCAAGGTTGTACTGTAGTATGTTGTAGTTCTGGGGGTAGGAACTTCGAGCTATTGACCTACGAAAAGTTCAACTCAAATCATATCAACTAAGGCATATCCAGCAGTCACAAAGGGGTGCTTAATGGAGGTTAGGGGTGCCCAGCTACTCCACTCACTTGGGGACTAAACACAACCCCTTGGGCCTTGCTTGATTCGTCTCAACACCCTTGTGACAGAAGCTCATCTTCTCGCTCGGACAGCGGAAGAGAGTCCATTGCCGAGGCCCTGAGAGATTACACTCCCTGGAACTAACATGGAAGTGGACAACCACCTGTTTGTACTGGAAAATGGGTTTTCCAAGGGGCCATTCTCCACTTCCATGTTGTTCCAGGGAGTGTATATAAGCGTTCTTCACCCCTTGCCTTGCCACACATGATCTCGGCAAAAGACCCCTGATCTCGTGTGCCCGGCGTGTTCCCCCTACCATAAGAACCCCTCGTGCGACCACACTGTTTGGGAAGACCCAGGCCTTGGCTTCTATACAAATCCATCAGCCCCAGCTTTTAGGAGGTCTTGGCCTCCAAGATTGTTGACATCCACCCAGAAAACACCCTGAACCCTGCCAAAAAGCTCGGACACTGTATTTTGGCTACAGTCGCCTGTTTTGGTTTGATGGATTTGGCGCTCTTGATGTTAGCCTTGAAGTTGCATTCAAGCAGCTGCAAGCAGCTTGGAGCCCGTTTAACTCGCCTGTGAAAACGTTCATCAAGGCCAGGATGGTGAAGATAATGTAGGCCTAGGTGGCTGAAGCCAAACACGGTGGCAGTCGGTTCGGTGAATAGTTGCCTTCCACTCTGACGAACTCATCCCCCTGTTGGTAGAGGAATGTAGTGTTCCAAGCCATGTTAGTTAGTCAGAGGCAAAGGGTAATGCAACTCAATATGTTCATGGATGGGTCGGGTTCTCCTCCGTCAACAAGTTCCGCCGCGCCCCGAAGAACCGACTGCGCCCAAGGACAAACATCAGGATGCAGGAGAAGGCGTCCACGTTGAACAAAGCATCGGTGACCTGGAGGTTCGGATGAAATGTATGTAAAAACACTCTCAAAACCCCCGTGTGCCTCAAAACAAACCTAAAACAACCTGTATCTAAAGAGCTCCCTTCAAAACCCTAAACCCTAAAACAACCTAATTAGGAGCTCCCTTCAAATGAGTGTGCCTCGGATATGTCATGATATGTCTGAATCAAGCCATCTGCAGTAGACGGAGAGCTTGTTTAGTTTCTTGTACTGCTGCGTGGGCCTCTGACCCCTCAGCTATCTCAAACACCATGCAACGAAGAGAAATGGCCTCGTACCAGCTGACGCCACCCAAGGTGGTCTGAAACAAGGTGTAGTGACTCCTGCTGATGCTGCCAAAATAGGTGTAGACCTCGCTGCATGTCAAGCGCCAAGGTTTCCACACCGAAAATGGTGAGGAAGCTGAAACAACCCCTTGGCGTTCAAAGTTCAAAACACCTCTGACTACTTGGGTTTCACGTGGGCTTCTTAAGTGGAACCTCTTGAACAATTTTGTATATGATGACTTCTTAAAAGCAAGGTCTTGCCAAATGCCCTCAAATTCCTCGCATTCGGAGTGGACTACCATTGGCATAGCCTACTTTTTCCTGACAAAACAGGCTTGAAGCAATGTCAAACCGGGGAAGTATGATAGAATTTCCCGCCTCTGTCTCTCTGTGCTTGGCCTGGTCACATCCCCAAACAGCTGTTCAAGAGCTGCCAAGAAGTACCTCTTCCATTACCCCCGCGCAACCTAACATGGAACCTGAGAATTCACCGATAGAAGACCATTTTCCTCTATAACCCCAGTGGTTTTGGGCTTCCATGTTTTCCTCTGCAGGGGTGTTTTTCGGGGGCCAGGCGCCAGCCATGCGCCGCAATGCACCACATGCACTGCGCCACACCTGCGACGCGCCACCTCCAGTGACGGATCGGCCCCGACGACTGGGCTGCCCCACTTTCGTCACCCCAGTCTCAGTGCTGTCCCTGAGGCGCCCAAGGCGCGAAATCACCCGTGTTTTGGGAGTGAACTCCTCCTGAACTTGCTATTTGGAACATCTTGGAACATGGTCCTCCACGTAACCATGATGATTCAACTGACTCAAAGTAGCAAACAGGCGACTAAAAGATCCCAGCAGTTCCTGGAATCATAGTCATCCAAGCATAGGGGCCATGCCATCTACCGAAACCATGCGAATTCCAGGGAGTGTCAGCCGGCCAATTCCAGAAGTCCCTTTTGGGCCCCTTCGAAAGAGTCAGCAGGGTTCATCTCAGAGATTTTGCTGGGGGACCTAACTATAGGCCATGTTCGAAGTTCAAGACCAAACCAGGCTTGAAAGGGCCTCCGTATTACAGTAATAACTTCACAAAAGAAGGCACGCATGTTGGACTTCTAGGAACATCACCCAGTTTCGCCTGGTTTCGTGCCTGTCACAAATGACAGGTCGTGACAGGCACGTCCCTCCACAAGGGCTTCACCGTTGGGTGCCGGGTTTACCCATCGTGGATCTTGATGAATTTCTAGTCACCATGGATGGCCAAAAGGGTGGAACAAACATCCACTGGGCTGTGGTATCCATCGCCAGCCCACCTATCTATGTTCAAGTTCTGTGCAATTCGGTTTCAGTATCAAAAGCTAGCCCAAGATTTCAGCATCCTAGCTGCTGGCTGATATCCTGACTTGAAAAAAGCAGCCAAGAATGGCTGGACGTTTTCCTATTGATATATATATATATATAATCATTGTAAGTATGTTCATCACTCCAACCTGATCGATTCCATTCTTCCCGTCAGACGGGACTCCCTGGACGAAACATGTTGTGTTCCATTCGCTGCCTCCCTGGACCGACAGAGGGAGGCTCGAAAACATCGAACCATACCTGGACCTTCAAAGGGGTGCCCAATGGAGATCCCTAGGTAGTGGGCTGGGGCTTCCAACCAGGTGACCCCGACATGAAGGTGCTGGTATACAAACGAGCGACGTCGTGCCAAGCTATCATTGAACGGAGCTCCGTTTTGGTCCGTCCGCGGCCGAAGGAAGTGCTGACATGTGTCTAGTCATACATGCCACTTTTCATGGAAGCCTCCAACGTTGTATTTACTATGTAAGTTGGTCTTTCTGCAAGAACTCTTGAAAAGGATGAACCGATCCACCAAGTTATGGTCATACAGACTTGTATATCCAACGGTCGGAAGGCTTGTCGCCAGACTTCTTCAGAATTCAAGTGGGTCACTGATGTTCATGGGTGATGATCACTGAAGTCCTACATCATCCATCTGAAATGACACATCTGTGGCCTGCAAAGTCAGTACTACGCCCTCCTAACCTGTGTAAAACCTGGAACTCGCTTGACCTCTGTTTGGATCCGAAGTTTGGCCTATCTTGCGGTGGTGGGTGGTCCAGAATCGAGGTCACTCAGGTGCTGTCCAGGAATCTTCATGGATTTGCTCTCCAGGAGCCAGGGAAGAACACAACATATTCCCTCAGGTATGGGGGGGGACTTACCCATAGGGAAAATAGAGAATCACCTGATCCGCAATGGCCCAGGATAGACCCTTCCAACCCAATTCTCGGGGGTTCCAGCTCTTCCGGTCAGCCAAATAATCTTCATTTTCCCTACTTGGGTTTACTGTCAGGAAGACCCGGATGAATACCACAAGCCAAGTCTTCGCCAGGTGTGGGGAGATTGACCCCGTTCACACAGAAAAAAACATCAGCCATTGTATGAAGCCAACAAACCTAAGCCAGCTAACAAGGGGTTGGACGACCCAACAGTCGCTCCGAGTTCCATGTTTCATTGGGGAAGATGGAGATTGCCACCCCAGTCGCTCCATCGAATCAGCCGAGCAGCAAGATCTCTTGCTCCCACTCTGCTGTGGTGAAGTCGATGCGTTCTTTCAGCCAGTCCGTGCAGGAGCCCGTCAAGGTGATGGCCAACACATACCTGCAGTGACCCCCCCGGCCATGACAATGAAAAACCATCACAGGAGGGACTCCTCTAGATGGCATTTTGAACTGCATGTGCGAACCAATCCCAACCTAAACCATGCACGATACTGGAAATTTTCAACATTGTTGGCAGACTTTGACCCTTGAAACATCTAAGTGTTTCACCTTCACTGTAGGCAACTATTCAAGTCCCATGGATTGTCAGGATCTCATGTTCGGACCTGATCTCGGTTCTTCGATGTGAGATCGGTTCTGCGCTCTTCCGGAATCGCAAGGCCCGCTCCCAAAGGATTTCAGGGTCCGGTGGTGTTCTGTTTCGGTCCAGATCTTGCAGTTCCCAAACCCTCCATGGGACTACCTAGACCCCCTGAACCATGGCATTCTTAGGCAAATATTCCCATACATGGAGTGTCTGGGGTTCTGTCGGCCTGTGCCAATTCGTGGCCTACCAGTTGGTACGAGAGCGGGTCACGGCTTTACGTCCTTGACTGGTGTGTATTGAAGAGTCCCCTCCCCTGCTGGGCAAAGCCATGGACAAACGCAAAGTACTGCATCCTAACTCAGAAGAGGCTTGGATCTGACTGCCGAGGAATTCTGGAGTCCGGGCGCTCGAAAGGGAGAATTTGCATGGATAAGCACATTAGGTCTGACCTTCCAACAGGTCTCTGTTGATCTCCTTTGGAGGGTTGTTAGGCCGTAACAGCTTTCAATTGGTGACCTGTGAAGTCGGTGCTGGTATACGATGTTCACTGTAACTTTCTTGAAAACGGTCTCATCGTCATGAAAATCAGGCACCAGTTCTGCTAAACTCTCTCTTTGAATGGCATCACACTCTCCAACCTTCAGACCACTCCCGGATAACGCGACCACGGCGCCCCACCCAACGCATACCGCACAGTGCGTACTACATGGCCCTCGGTGGCCCGCCGACCTTCGACCGACCGCCCTGCCCTGCCAGTGGCGGCACATGATGAGGATAAACATCACCAAGGCCCACAAAAGCTGCTGAACGGAGTGGGCGACCTCGCGGCTTCTTTTCTGCGGGGATGACGGACCCTTTTACTTACAGAGGTACGGAGTTGGGTTCGTCCGAGTTGGCAGAAATTGACCATGTGAAAACTGAAAAAAAAGCAAACATTCGGTTGGAAGGGTTTCTTCTCATCCCCAAAGAGCTTGGATCGTTGGCCAGGTATAGTGACCCCTGCAAAGAGAGTCGAAAGTCTCATACGCCCAACACATATCTAGGAATTATAAACGTCCACATCCAATTGTCTCAGTGGATGATGATGGTATAGTTATAGTATAGTGATATAATATATCATACTTTTCCCGACTGATACTGGCAATGAAACACACCCAAAACGAACGAAAATCATACCTGGACCCTCCTGTCAGACTACCCCACACTACCTATAGGCTTCCAGACAGGGCACCCCTTGGAGGGTCCTGGTATGTTCTATACATTGCTTCTACTTTCGTGATTGTCCACCGGATGCGTGGAAAGGAGATCGTGCGATCCCGACGGCGATGCGGCTGAGGCACCATGAGTGCCAAGGTGGCCAGCTGGCGGAAAAAGCGCAACAGCCGAAAAAGCCGTACCTCAAGTCGCATCCGGTGGTTGCTGAGGATGCCAAACGGAAGCTGGGGAGGCGTTGGAAGAGTGAAGATGTTTTGGGATGAGTCAAGGGCAAAAAGTCACCAAAGTGGAACTTGAAGGGAGTTGAGGGTTGGTTCCTCTATGATCCTAGATTTGCTTCGCCAAGTTGAACATGTGTTCATGCACCTGCCTTGTGAATGGCCATTGCCACTCCTTGCCTCACCACAAAAAAAAGATACAGTCGCACAGGCTGCGCTGTGGCAGTCAGAGCCTGGAAAGGTTGGGAAATTCCATCCTAGTCATGAGGGTGCTTTTGAGACGCCTGCTTGGACACAACCTCTGACCTGATGATATGGGAACCTGATGACATGGGCCGTTTGGAAGACGAGACCCTCCACCCCACGTCGCACGGATCGATCCGTGGCTGTAGCCCTTTGCTTGGTGATTCACCGGGGACAAGATCAACATGATGCAAATGTGGTCCGCACCGTATCGATCAGGGTTAGGAAAACATGACAAGTGGGACCTGAGAAGCAAGATCTGTGGATCAAGCCGAAATAAGTATATGTGAGATCCTATACCCATGCGCTAGATGAACTGCATGGTGGTGCACCCACGAACTGGCATCGGACATTCGCACATTCGCTGTGGATCGTATGCAGCGAAGGATCATGCAACGAACAAAAAACGCCACTGCGCTGGCATCGCGATGCCGAAAGATGACATATAAAAGGAACTTCTACCAGCACCCTCCAACAGGTGCTTCCTGGTGACAACAGGTGCCCAGAAACCACCTGTTAGGGTCTCCAAACAACCTGTTGGAAGGTGCTGGTATGTGTCTATGTGGGTGTCTTCCAAATAGGAACTGGGTGTCAGAATAGCAAAGTACCAACAAGAATACAAACACAATCAACTCACACCCTTCTCAGCCAAAAGCTGCAAGCACAAACCTGGCTCTAGTCAGTGCGCCCTTCCATCACCTGCCATCCAAGGTCATATAGGATAGGAGAAAAGCTGGAACAGTGAAGCGAGTACGACCCAAAATGAAGCGCAACAGGTGTAGCTGGTGTGCTACAGTATAAGAAAAGAGAATCAGCTGCAGGCTCTCGTCAGAATTTGCACCACAGAAAGGTTCATTCAGAAGTATCCGCCCAAAAGAACTCCGTTTTGGGCAACCAAAGTGTGGGTGCATTCCAGGCAAAGAACGCGGTTCTCAGGATTGGTTGGTGTGTCGAATGCACCTAGCACCTAGAGCTACTCGATCAGGAGCCTGCAGCACACTCTGATCTAAGTGTGTCTTCCTGTCGAACTCAAAGTCTCTCTACACCAGAACTCATGGGGCGCTCTGCCTCCCATGTGACGTCGTCAAATTGGGACACATAGACATCAGCATAAACAAAACACCTCTCTCCGTAGCTTTTCCAAACATTCTTGTGGTTGTCTGGCACGTGTGCACAGGGCAACGTGCTGCCAATGGCTAAGGCTTTAGTCATGATCTCGCGACTCGAACTTCAAGCGCGGATGCAATGTCTCGAGCAGTTTGATCAATTGTACTAAGAACTGGGGCCTGTTCCTGATCAAGGCCACAAAGTCCAGATCATCCGCGAGATTCCATCGGCGCGTGAAGGCGTGGCTGTGTGTGGCCCCACCCTTCGGGCTCCGATCAGTGTGCCGGAACTACACGGAACAGCACCGGAACTACACCTTCATTCATAACCTCATCGAACTCGTGCATGTAGGTTTCTGCACTCATCAGAGGGGTACTGCTCATCATGTGTCGGTGAAGGATTCAAGACGGAAGTTGTGCTTTGGCACAAACGCCTGAGGTGCTGAAGTCCGCCGGAGGCCACCAGGCCACCAGTGCCTACCATTGAATCACTATCCAGAGTCTGCAACAAATCACGGTCAGAGTCTGCAGGAACACGGACCCGCGGCGCACTTCTTTGATCCTCTTCATGCCCGGAGACAGGAAAATCAAGCAGAAGGTCTATGTCGAAGTTCCCATCTGCTCCCATCCCTGACCAAAGAGTGCACCTCGCACACTGCACACTGGGAGTGAGCCGTCCTAATCCACCACGAACCCGGAATGAACGCTGGCCGCTGACCCACCGAACGCTTGATCCGCCCCGGTCGCTTTCGCGTTTCGCCGCGCGCGCGAAACGGCCGCGCGTTTCTGTAGCGGAGAGACGACCCGGATGATCTTGATCGCCCGCAAGCTCGAGACGGGCGATTTGGCATTGCCTGGCGCCAAAGTGATGCGACTCGAAAGGAATCACTGGTGGCTATAGATTACCAGGACCACGGAGTTCGGGTGGTTTATGGACACCCCTGACTATGTATTTGCCATCATCCAATAACCACCCCTTCCGTGGTCCTGGTAGATATGATTAGATCCTGAGGGATCTACAACGGGTGGTGAAGATTCCCTCATTCCCTACGAGTCGCACAAGTCTGAGAAGGTCGCGACGTGGCGGGAACGGCGGTTCGAGTCAGGCGGCGAGGCAGGGGTGGTAGGGGGTCCAGAAATGCTGTATAGGCGGTTTGTGTGAGGAGGGTTTTGTTGGGAATTGATGTGCAAAAGGGCAGGGCCTAAGGGGCTGGTATGTGGTTGATAGCATCATCTATCGAAGATGATGACATGTCATGAACCAACATCTACCAGAATCTACCATTAAAAAGCAGGAACCTCTTAGAAGCAGGAACCAGGGGGTGAGGGTGAGGATGGGTGAGGTCTCCGGGTCTCATTTTGCTGGTTAGCATTCAGGTCTGGCATGTTTAGCTTTGTGAAGTTCCTGCCCCCCAAAACAGCTTTCACACCGCTTCGGTAGTGACTGATGATACCTGGCACCCGCCCCAACTGCAGTTGGAGCATCCACTTGTGAGGGAATTGACTTCCCTTGGGCAAAACTGGCTTCCAGGATTCGTGTGAGTTCTGAGTAGATCCAGGATCCACAGAGCAAAAGGAAGTGGGACCATTTACCAAACAGGCAAGAAGAAGCAGTTACAAATTTGTTCAATATGCTGCGAACTCTCTTTTTTGAGTTTGTTTTTTGAGTCTTTTTTGTTCGAGCACCTGAGCCTCCCAGTGACTCACATGTTGGCCATTGGCTTGAATGGTTCATCTGAAAAGTACAACAAACTCATCGAAAAGCTGAACCATTCAAATGATGCAAATTGATTGACTCATCAAATTTGCAAATACTCCTAAATTGATCTTTGCCAATCGGTCTGCTCTTGCTGCCTTCCACCTGGTGGGAGACAAAGAAAAGCACGCCCACCCCGGCAGCTATATAAACCTGGTTGAACCCTGTTTATGACCCAGCGGGCGCAACAAAAACCTCGTAGAAGACCTCGCGAGTGGAGAAGGTCATCTCTGAGTTGTCCCATCCAAAACGCCATAAGAATGACAACAAGGACATCACTGATGAGTCATTAGTGGCCAAGGATGAGTCATCCTTGTTGTGTCTTGTTGTCTCATCCAGCCTGTTGGGCTCGTTGCCTCCCATGGTCACTCCGACTGGCCTCCCTGTGGGCTGGCGATCCGAGCAGCTAGGCAGCTACTCATTCTCGTGTCTCCCAGAGTGGATGTGTCTCAAGCTTGGTGGTCATAAGTCTGTTTTACACTTGCCAGATTTATTAAGGCCATAAGCCCCATCAAACCAAAATAAAGCAACCCTCCCTCGGACTCCATCGTCATCCATTCTCGGATTCACCAGTTCGGTGCCCCGAACGTCGCCGACCCCTCCACCTGAGTCGCCGAAGGCCACGAAAGCGAGCTCGATGATGCTCACCAAGACCAAGATCAGGTCCGTCCAGTTCCTGACGAAGCAACACAGGACTGGCAAAAGAGAAACACATGAAACATGGTTTCCAGCACCGACTTCACAGGTCACCAATTGAAGCCTGGTAGGGCCTAACAACCCTCCATCACCAATGACCTGTTGGAAGGTCCTGGTTTATAAATATGGGAGAGACCAAAAACAAGGTCATCAACTATCAACGTCGCAAAGAGAGAGACGAGTGGCCCGGCTCCCCCCACCAAGGTCCATGCGGAGCGGAACACCGCTCAGCTCCGCACCGGCGAGGTTCGCAGGTTCCCGGCGCTGCGAAGGCGAGGTTCGCAGTTCCCGGCAGGTTCTGGACACTTTCGAAAAGAGTGTGTTTTAGGGAGGGGTGTAAGGCTTAATCCTTTTCTTGCATGCAGTTTGTTCATCATCATCTTGCTTCCAGCGATATAAATGGTTGTTAGGCTAGGGCTCTCGAAACAAACAACACTCTTTAACAGGCAATCGAAACCTGACTGCAGTCAGGTCCATTGATGTCCGACGACGCTTGCTTGAGGGTGCAGCAACTCCCAAACACCTCAGCCCACCATTGGTTTCAGGTGCATTGGGGTATCCCAACCGGCAGTCTCAACTAAGGCTCCACATCCATTCCTCATTGCAGAAGTATGGCACGATGCCAGCCACCCGCACGCGGATGATCACTTCAATGATGAACCAATTGGCAAATAGGAGGCCTCATGAAACGGATACACTTTCACTGACTCCATGCTAATTCTAGAGATAGGGCTAATTACGCCCAGAACATCGATGCCCCAAATTGTACAGCCTTAGCAAGATCCGTATTACACATATCACTGCCGCTCCCACCCCCCAAAAAAAACAAAGTTGATCCATATATGGATCTGTTGACGAGCTGCACAATGAAGGAGCCCAAGGAAGAACAAAGCAATATATGGGTGTTTAACTTTATAGGGAGACCCCCAGCCATTGGATGTTTGTCTATTTCACTTTTTCCAGGGGTCCTTTGAAAGGTCTCCCAATTTCAATACACACCCATATTCAAGATCAGCTTCTTGGCTATCAAATTTGATGGTTTCGGTCCACAGGTCGTGCAGCTGCTGAGTGCAAGTTGCAACTGTCAGGCTACTTTCACGCGGGTCACACACCTACCCTGTTCTGTGTATCGTGTGTATAAATATATCTGGTGACTGGTTTATGACAGCCATCTCGCGCCGGTTGTTTTGGCTGCTACATCGGCGTTTGTACAATGCTGCGAAACCATGAGGGCCAAGGCTCACCAACTATGCAGAAGTCCGGCCACAGTTTGCCTTTCCCAACACCTACTGCATTCTATGCGCGGTGCAATTCCGGAAGATTTCCTGCGAGTGTTTGAAGAAAACACACAAGCCGACCTCACAACAAATCATCGCAGCGCATGGATTTCACAAAACATCAACAAAGAACTGCCCTTGGCTGGTCACGGCATTGGCTGCTTTTTGTGTGGCTGGCGATTCGATTCATCCACCATCCGATCCGGGCCAGGATGGGCCCTGCGCATGCTCACTGCTGATCTAGATCAAAGGGAACATCACGTGGCTCTTCGCAGGGGTGGGGGTTCTTGTTGATCAACGTTTGGAGAGTGAAACTTCCAACAAAAACAGCCAACAAATGCCGCCGAGAGGCTCAGAATCGTTAAAGCCGGAGAAGGATCAACCTGATCTACTTGAGCCGTTCGATCATGCTTGCCACATACAGCTGGGGAATGCCACTGTGCTTGCATATCTTTTCATACATCCGCGTGCAACCAAAAGCACGACCTTGCCACCTTTTCAAACGAAAAAACAATGTCATTCCCAGACACGACACATGGGACTGCCATAGGACTGCCGATCAGTTGGCGTGGTTTTGGGGGTTAATGTAGGCATATATGGCAGTCCCATGGAGTGTCTGGGATTTGATCACAATATGAAGCTCGCACGACTGAAACTGCATGGCAAGTGGCATGTGAGGCCTGATACTCCACTTCGAGCCCAAGAACGATCGAGTTGGCCTCAAGCCAAACAAACACGCGCATGACATCGCGTGGGTTCGTCAAAGACTCCGTTGGTCCTGGAAGGAGAACAAATGGACTTTGCCCACCGACTCACTTAGAATAAAAGTGCAAACTGCATTCGCTATAGGGATCCAGTCGTACCGAACCTCAGAAGGCACTTGGACCCCCCAAACCTACATAACACTGTCTCCAATCACCTTCTGAGAAGGTACTTGGATCCCTAGGTTTTGAAAAAACAAGAGCGACATCCTGCTTCCTACCCCATGATGTAACCCATGGGGAAACCAAAACTAACGCATGGCTCGCCGCACGGAGAAAAATAACGTGTGCTCGCCAAAGCAATCCAACTCAACCCGACACTGACAGATTGATAGCTCTTTCTTGATTCTATGGGTGGTGCATGGCCGTTCTAGGTCTAAGCCGTCTAAGCCGTTCAATAAACACCAAGACTCAAGACTCATAAGATTTATTGCCCTGCCGAGGCCCGCCCGAGGCCCTGGCAAGTGAACGATCTTGAGGTTCGGGGTGGTTCCGCTATCCAAGGTTAACCTCCAAGCCACCGCCAATGTCAAGGGTCATCTGACCGGAGAAGCGTTTAATAGTTGCACAACCATCGTGCGGATTGGGCCATTGACATGTTTTGATTCAAATTTGGATTTCTGGACACTGCCAGGGTGCCCTGAATCACACCTCCTCCTCCCCCCAAAGGAAAAATCACACAGCGGCGTTTTTCCGGACCACCGGATTTCTTCCCCACTGCCGTGACGGCCGTCGTTTTCTGCTTCGTCGTCGCGAACGGTCCCAGGGGCAAGGATTAAGCAGGCAGCGAAGAACTCGAAGACCAGCCAACGGAACTCCGAGGGCTTCTCCTTGAGAAGGACAGAGAAGAAAGGAGTCTGAAGGAGAGCTTTCTGCTGAGAAAACCAGGAACATCTTCTGAACAATTTCTGCAAGATCTCTATAAGAACTTGATGTCACTGGCATGTCACGTGCGACATCGCAATTGTTCTATCTGAGGCTGCTTCCAGTTTCCGATCAGCTTCCAGCTCCAAAAACACATGTTTTCTTGGAACCTCTCAGACTAAAGGAAAGTTGGCACCTGTTTTCAGAACAAATAACTCCTTCTCCTTCTCCTTCTCGTCCAATGGACGCGAAAACACAAAAATAACACACTGTCTTGGTATGAAGCCCAGGAAGTAGTTTCCGAAGATCGGCTATATGCAACAACTGGGCTTTCATCGGGTATACGTACGTACGGGACGTATATGTCCGCGATTCGAATTCCGATATTCCTGCGTGGTGTCCTCCGCGTTCGCACCTGACCTCGAACTCGGGCTCGGCTTCCTCCGCTCGACACCTTCTTTTAGGACTCCGAGGGGCGCCAAAGGCAAGAGCTGCAAATAAGCCCACCAATGCTGGATTTGACACACACAAAATAGGCATAGCTAATAGCACTTGGTTGTCTTTTTGGGCCTTCTCTGGTGCGATCCCTAAGTTCATCCAAGTCCCAAACCACCAAACCATACCAAACCTATACTCCTTCCAACCTCACCCCCGCCCACTCTTCCCAAAGCACCCAGTGGACCCCCATAGTTCGTCATGCCCAAGTTCCCCATAGTCTCCCCGATGGCCCATGCCCAAGACCATGCGCAAGATCCACGTGAGCTTCCTGAAGAGGCGGTGACACCCCGCACGCGCGGACCGAGGACCACTCGGACGACGAACGAAAAAACATGAGGCGCAGGACCGGACCGGCACAGGACCGGGCGATGAATGGATTGATGTGTGAAAAGGAGAGATGTATACGTATATAACCCTGTACCAGGACCACGGAAGGGGTAGATGCCCGATGGAGATCCCTAGGTAGTGTAGGGGTTTCCAATTGGTGACCCCTTTGAAGGTGCTGGTGTATATATCTAATTATTTAAATACATGTATATATATATATATGTGATAGATATGCCAAGCGTATCATGGAGCGTTTGGGAACAGCGATTCCCAGTACAACCCATGATAATGTACCATAAATTACCATAACATCTTTAACAGGTGACCTGTTCTTGTTGATCACACCATCGCGATAGATATGGAGTCACAGCCTTCAACAGCCAACTCCATTGTCGGTATGAACAAAGCCTGAAGAAGTGCATCACAATTCCCATCCTCAGTGAACTCTATTTAGGGCCCTCGAAGGGGTGTCTCTTTATAGCCCCTTAGCTGTGATTCGGGGTGTCCATTAACCACGTCCTTGGGGGTCCTGGTATCCTGGTAGTATAGGCCTTTAGTTCTAATTGATGGCCCCGGCCTTGTCTTGTGTCGAACCATTTGTCTGGCTTAGACACACCAACATGGGCATGGGATCCTCTGGACAAGGGCATGGGATCGGACACCCCGAAGCTCCCTGAAGCTTCCTGCCTTCTTCACCTTGATGTAGACGGACTCTTGATTGATCTCCCCACAGAATGGTTCACGACCACATCACATTGGAGAAAGTTGATTCATCAAGAGTCTGGAGTCACAAAGTACCTCAGAAAATGAGTAGAAGTTCCTGTCAATGTTCCTTTTCAATACACCCCCGAATATGAAGAGGACCTTCAATTCAAACCGGGGGGGGGTGTCTTTCTCAAGAGTCTACATGCCTTGAAGTTGGGTCCAGGCGCTCCAGGTCGTCTTAATGAAGTCGGGTCCAGGTAGACCTGGTTTCAAGTCCAGCCACTGCTTTTGAACCCTTATGCCAGCTTGATTGTGCTTTTGGGCTGACCCTCCTGGAGCCGCCTTCGGCGGCGCCCGCGGCCGTTTCCAACGGCTCCGAGTGGCTTGAGGATCGAGTCCTCTCGACCTGGTCGACTCGAGTCAGGCGGCCGAACTCGTTCTCGGCCGGAAACGCCAGGCACCCACCGGCTTGGGAATCCCCTATATGGGATATTCATGCCAACACAGCAAAAAGGGGAGGGGGGAGGGCATGTGATGGCATCGTGTGTGTGTGTGTGGGGCCTAGGAGCCTATAGGTATCCGCAATTTTGGGACAACAAAGCAACTACTCCATCACCCTGCACGCATGCGTGATGCGCTACAATATCTCCCCTGCATCTGTACGTAGTCGAATCTGTTTGATGTCCTCCAACCTGTCCAAAGATCAGGGAAAGCCATTCGATGGGACCCCGAAGTGGAATTCGCACCCAACTTAACACCTTCCAAACGACCGAACGACCCAAAACAACAGGATGATTTTCTTGCATGAACCACCTCAGTTCCTGATCTGGCCGCCAAATCACCTTGGAAATCACATGTGACCAGCACCAAACGACCGGTCAGGTCCGCCCCAGGCGGGCCCCAGCCAGGCCACAGGCTTCCAACTTGGCCTTGGCTTCCGCCAAGCGTTCGTTCAAATTCTCCGAATTGGTAGCCTCCTTGACGTGGGCATCCACCATGCAGCCTGGTGTTTCACCACGCGGGGAGGGCGGGAAAAAGCCACGGTGTACAGCACGACTGTAGGAGGCTTTGGTGGCTGTGTGGTTCGTTCGTTGCGTTGTGGGACCTTGCTTTTGAAGAGAGAAAGTTGGCCTCGCCGCCGCTTTCGTCCGCCAGCTGAGCCACTTGGGATTTTTGTTGGCAGGGTGTTCCATGATTGGAAGTTGGAATCTAAGAAGTTTCCTCTTGAATCCTAGGGCAAATCCTAGGGTCCGCACCTTTCTGCAGGGGTCGCGGGGTCCACACCTATAAACACCGGAGTGTCGTTTGTTCTGGCGCACACCGCTCGCCGTAGTGACCGGACTCCCGGTGACTTCTGGAATCATCTGGACGGAGTAACACACCAGAACAAAACGCTCCATCTATTGAATCGTTACCTACATTATGGGTAGTTATACTATAAATGAGGCAAATGTACACACATACAACTATTCCAAACATGGATGGTCCGGAATGAACATTGTTGGGTCGACTTCGCAACTGCAAGTGGTGTGTCCAAACGGAACATCGACAAAGCCACGATTCCAAAGATTTCATTGTGGTTAAGCAAACTCACCCCATGAGCCCAAGTCCAGTTCGTCTCTTCCAAAACGACGGTGCCTTGTGTGTGGAAAACAAAAACTCCCCACTCCATGAACCCAAATCCACAACCCAGGAGTGAAACACGGACACGCACGCATCGTGGACGCATCGTGCAACGTGGCCCAGACACCTGTGACGGTATTGGTTTTCACCTTGGCCATCGCCAAGGACTCCGTCGTCGTACTCGGCGGAAGGGCGGCCGAGGCCGGCGGCTTCGGAAGGGCGGTGGGCGCGGTGGGCGCGGTGGGCGCGGTGGGCGCGGGCGCTGGGGCGGCCTGGGACACGGGGCTGAGGTCTCAGGGCGGTGCACAAGGAACTGCCAGGGCGGTCCGAATAGGTACGTACTTAGAGTGGGGTCATAACATTTCATTACTCATGTCATTGTAAATGGTGTACATATGGGCAAATGCTTACTTGATAACTATTCCATAATATATATATATATATGGATAGTCTGGGCATGTCTGATTGATTTGTGATTTGTCCTCGGCTCAACTTCAAGGAAAACACAGCCCTCATGCTAAATTCATGTTGGTCGATCTATGCAATATGTTCTGCCTTTTGAGCCACGTTTGATAGATGAAGTTCGGCAAAGAGAAAAACAAAAACATGCAGTTGGAAGAATCTATAGGTAGCGTTCGATGGCATGACCCACTCCAACAAACGAAGCCAAATCCGTAACACCCCCGCCGCGCCTCGTCCAGCTCATCCAGTTGGAAGGTCAAGGCCTTCGGAGATCCGAAGAAGTGACTCAAAGAGCTGCTTGGAGCTGCTTATACATATATATATCCCTTCCTGCAAGAAGGGATCCAATTATCTTGTCAGAAGGTGATTGGAGACACTGCTGTGTAGGTGGTTGGAAGCTGCGGTGTTGGCTCACCAGCAGAGGTTGAACCCGAACTAGACATCTATACCAGGAGTCACAAAGGGGTGGTTTTTAGTACCTAAGTGAGTGGAGTAGCTGGGCACCCCGACTACCTCCAAGTTCGGCACCCCGTCTTGTGACTGCTGGTATATTCCTATTTTAGGGATCCAATTATCTTGTCAGAAGGTGATTGGAGACACTGAGAAAGTACTTGGATCCCTATAGGGTATATCGTTTAAATATATATATATATATATATGACCTTGGGCTCCAACCACATCCGACCTAGGTGGTGTGGGGTCTAACTAGCTTCTCGTTGGAGCCCTAGGGGCACACACTCCCTGCATCTCCAAACGTACCGAACCGCTTCGGTGAAGGTGGGACGGACGGGGCTCGGGTGGTTTTGGAGGGTCCAGTCATATAGCGAACCTGAGGAGGTACGACTGGAGCCCAAACGGGTGTCTTTGGTGTGGCGACTCGGAGAGCTACCACAAGCAGCGACTGAACTCCAAATGATTCATGTTGTGATCAAACGTTTCTGTGTCAAGTCACGCGGAAGACTCGGCCAGGCCGAGCTCAAACGATGCATGCAACCCACAGACAAATGGTGCTCATGTGTTTTCTTCAAGTGGGCGTAGGAAGACCCATTTTGAAGACCCGGCTGAAGACCTGCAGGGTCAACACCCACCCCCCAGGCAACTCATCATTGAAGGGCCCATGTCCCATTTCAGTTGTGGGACAGCAGGGCTTGGCTGTGGTCGTGTCAGTGTGTGTGTGTGTGTGCCCAAATCACCAAATCAGCCGGAGAAGAATGCCCAACTCCCCAAGGAAATGGCACTCCACGTTCGTCGAAGTCTGCAATCCCGGAAAAAGGAGCCACTTGGCAATCACTAAGTCACTAAGAGGTCCACACGAAGAGGTCTGAAGGCGGAGGACGTACCCCTTGTCAGGCAGCTGACTAACATTGATAAATAAGCTGCAAGCAGCCAAAAGTTTTGCAGCTCCAAAGAAGTCAATGACCTTGTGCTGGTAGAAAGGAACGCGTGCCATTGATCTCTTTTCTCAAATATTTTGACTCGAGGCACAACTGTTTTGAATGTAAACCTTCTCACAAAGACTGGTGACCAATCATGTCAGTAGAATGACTGGTGGGTTCCACCTAGAACCTGAGTGCTCAGTGACCCTGGTCACATAGTCTTGTCCTATGGTATAAAATCAAACATCTGGTGGGTCAAAACCTGGAATCTCAAACCACCTCCCAGGCAGTCTGTTCATGTTCCCAACTGAAGGTCCCGTTTCGGTGCCGATCAAGATCCTGCCCAGCGGCACGCAACTCCAATCGCTCAGGATCGGCCTATGTCAAACTGAAAAGCTGTGGCCAACCCCTCCTGATCTGATCCACCTCTTCGTTTTGAGTGAGGTTCCACCAATTTCCCCAAGAAGTTTTCGCAGGTTCTCCACTGACTGGGTAGGCATCTGAGAGCAGTTTTGGATGGGCTTGGATTTGTACATTGGGATTCGACTTTCCTAGATTATGAAGCCTTCAAAACCTAAGCACGAAGCATTGAATCAAAATCGATGTGTTTTCCTCTTCGGGCATTCCATTTTGCCTTTATGATTGCCTATGCTCCCCGTGAACGCAAAGAACGATGACCCTGAAACCACATATACAAACCACAACGGTGTTATGTGTCCTAAACTAGATCAAAGTGTCAATCCTTTGTCTCCAGCATGCTGAGATGACGCTGAGCATTGTTTCTGAACTCGATCTTTGTCTCCAGCCATCTAAATGGCTGGAGCCTGTTCAAGCTCGTTCGTGCGCGATGGACGCCTTTCCTTCCCACCCGGCCGGCATCCCTTCGCACCTCAGCATCCTCCGTGGGAGGATCAAACTGGACCTGCGAACGAAGGCAAAGGCGAAGCAGTTGGAGTCCGAAGGAGCGTGTCGTTCATCCGTACGAACCGCGACGGAATTCGGAATGGGGTGCGAAATGGAACGAAACCGATGTCCAAAAGCACCCAAAAGATCCCTTAAATGCAAGTTAATAAATATGTCAAACATGGAGTGCCAAACACTCCATGGGACTGGAAGATGGTCCCTGAAACCAACCCCTGAAGAGTGGCGGCAGTACGAAACCCTTCATTTTGTATAAGTGGTTGACCTCTGTCTCTGACTCCCGAACGCCGGGAAATCCCGGAGCAAACATGAGAACCAAATCCGAACTTTTTGGGAACTTAGGTTGTTCCGTGTTGGACATGGTGTTTCCCCCATGATTCCCTCCAAAAAGGTGACCTACTCTCCCTGAAACCATCATGGAAGTGGAAAACCACCGGATTATAAAGGACTATAGTGGAGGAAAACCAGTCTTCCAAGAGGCCATGGTCCACTTCCATGTTTGGGGGGAGGGTACAGGTTCTACTTTTCACTCCAACAGGTGGGAACTGGTCTGCACTAAACAGGAAGGACCGGTTGCTTCACTCGTCACGGGATCTCCGATCTTTTTGAGCCTTCCTAGCCTGCCTGTCCAGAGGTTAGTGACCTTATTATAGGACCCGACTGGGGTACCCAACTAGGATAGTCTACCAGCAGTCACAAAGGGGTGCTAAATGGAGGTTAGGGGTGCCCAGCTACTCCACTCACTTGGGGACTAAACCCCCCCCCTTTGTGACTCCTGGTATAGATGTCTAGTTCGGGTTCAACCTCTGCTGGTGAGCCAACACCGCAGCTTCCAACCGCTTCGATCGGCACCGGTGCGCCGGGACGTAACTGCGCCTGCGCCTTGGGTGCGGTGCGTCGCTTCTTCTTGATCTTGGCTTTCCTCAAAGGCAGCTCCCGTTTGGGGATCCGTTTTCCTACGGACCCGGTTTGGTACGACTGGAGGTTCGTGACTTGGCACCTTTCTATAACCGCGTTCTCACACAACACCGTACCTGAGGTTCGGTACGACGCTTCATCGCGGTGAGGCCCTCATCCACTGGGTCCGTTCAGGTGAGTTGGGGTTCATGCTGCGACCGGGCCTCGGGGCCTCGGGACCTGGGACCTTCTAAAGAAGGACGTCAGGAGTCCCACATCTGGAGCCTCTGAGAAGTACCATGGACCCTGTGATCCATGGATATGGTGTGGATTAGGTGTAGGGATGTGTAAAAAAACAAATACTTACACCTCCATCATCCATATTCCACAGGTTCGGTGGCTAGACGGTTAGACCCCCTGGCACCCGTAACCATCTTCTCAGGAGGTAGTTGGAGCCCTGGGGACTTGTACCCAATGTCCGAGGAACATACTTGGACGATGCAAGCCGTGGCTTCGGGTATGCACATCCGGCGATATGTACCAGACTTCTATGCTCTTCTTCCCTTCTTCCTGGCGCTGCTGTGGAACACATTGAGTCCCTTCAAACATCATGAACACCATGACCATCCAAGAGGTCTCCAATGGACTGCCCTCCACGCAAAAAAAATGATCTCTATTGACTCTATTGGCCCTACCTTGAAGTGTCTGTGTACACATAAGAAGGGTCATTGAGCTGCTGGTCATGTTGCACCTCCCCCTTCGGAGTCCCCTTTCACTCGGCCGCTTCCGAGCAGCGGTTTCACCTTGGCCTCGGCACATGCGGGAAACCGAAACCAACCGCTGAGAGGCACGTCTTGGGGTGAGAAGAGCGCCACCAAGAGACGAATCAGGTGCGCATGGGACTGGCAGAAACCAACACCTCTCAGGTGGAACGACATGAATGTGTGCTGCAGGGAAGGTTGACGTCTTGTGACGGCTCGACGAAAATCACCAAGCCGGTTGCTGATGAGGTACCCTTGATGGTACCATAGACATTCAATGAGACGTTCTCCACTAAACCTGATGCAAATCGATGAACAAAGAGAGCGACTCAAGGCGCCCAGGTAGGGAGTTGCCATGGTTGGTGAGATGCGTCTTCTTTGCAACCATGGGTGAAGCACAAGGGCCCCTCAATGAGCTCAGGGTGGACACGGACCTCTTTCATGGACCTCAATGAGCTCTGGGCGCCTTGAGCGGCTGAGCAAAGAAAACAACATACGACCTCCAATCTGTTGCACAAATTGGACTGGATGTCCTGTGTGGATCCTGCGCTTTCGAGGTCTCTCCTGTTTTTCTTTTTCCACCGTGGCCCCAGTCGAGTGCCCCGCCTGCTCCCAGTCCTCCTGGGCCGAGGCGGCCCATCTGGGACGTCTAATGCCATAGGAGTCCATTTGGCGGGTTCTGGGAAAACAACGTTAATTTAGACTTTAGACCATCCTGAAAAGAAGGACCACATTACAAAAAAACACACACACACACAAAACAAATGTATGATGAGAGGATTAATTCGGTACAGAAGTTCCAGAGAGGCACCAAAGAAAAGCTGTGTAAGAGAGAGAGAGAGAGAGAGTGTGTGTGTGTGTGGGGAGGGCGAGTAGTAAGATATCACGTGACATCACTCTATTCACATTCTGTGATGACTTAAACTTAAACACAAATGTCATGTGAACATAGTCACCCACTCTGGACTCTGGGACTCTGACTCTGGACTCACAAACCCTACTTAACCTATCGTAACCTGATGGCTTTTCGAACCAAAACCACCTTCTTAAGACCTTGGCTGCCCATCAAAAAGAAGCTGTTGGAGCTCGTGCGAGTGGGAAAGGAGCAACAGAATCACGTAGAATCACTATATACTATATATATTATATACCAGCACCCTCCAACAGGAAACCTGTTAGGGCCTAACAAGCCTCCAAAGGGGACCTGTTGGAGGGTGCTGGTATACGATTATATTGGATGTAATTTGGATTGAAAAACATTGAAGAACCTCTGAACACATGCAACATGGAAGTGGATGGCATGCTCTGCTCACTGGGAAGACGACTTTCTCGACTTTCCTTTGCAACCGGGCCCAATATGTCAGCTCTCCTGGAAGGACTGCTCGAGAGCGTCCAAATGTCTCTGAAGAGCGGAGAAGCTCTTCATCACCTGGAGGGGGCCCGCTGACGTTGCTGAGTGTGACGCCGATAGGAGGTGGTTGGTCTGACTGGTGGCGGTCCTACTCGAGGCCGTTGTTGGCGTATATACCCAAAAGCAAGCTTGAGAGACCTGGACTCCAGCTACTCCAGCTACTCTAGCACAGCATGGACCATGTCCGGATGGTTGAATCGGGGGTCGGGCTCCGACGTCCGACCTTCTACGGAGGTGACCCCTCTCCCCCCCTGGCCGCACCGAACCTGAGGATGTGGGACAGCCCCAGAAAGGGGGTAGACCAGATCTTCCAACTGTGCATCAGTTCTGCTTTGTATAATCTAGAAAACCTGCTACAAAGTTGGAAGATCCCCAAATCATACCGACCATTTGGGCCTCTCTGCGCTGAAACATTTGGACCACAAGCTTGAGTCAGGCTTCAACAAACGCAGTTCACCTCTGTTCTCTGCGCTATACAAAAATGTCTGACTCTTCACTCCTTCGATTTCGAGGTGGAGCAACTGCCTGTGGCCGCTGGAATCTCACTGGCACCGAACAAGCAAATCTTCAACAAGAATGACCTCTTAAAACTCAAACACTCCATGGATATACATATCCCAAACACTGCACTGAGGCTGGAAAATAGTCCTACATTGACCCCCCTGGCACCCTCCCAATGCAGGATATATGCGTCCCATGGAGTGTCTGGGTATTGACCTATACATTTCAATGGTTGAATAGGGGTCAATATAGGCATGATATGGCATCAGTATCAAGCACATGGAGGTGTTGGGGGCCTCAGTCTCTTTGATACGATCACTGCAGCATATCTGACCGGTACTGTACACTCTTGGGCTGACTAACATGGAAGTGGAGCATGCTCCCTTGGAAGATCGATCCTGTACCAACACGGGGTGCAGTCCACTTCCATGTCAGTCGGAGGGTGGATTAAAACCCAAACACCTGCTTCTTTCATCCTTTTGTCCACCTTCTTTGTTGCCCCATGTTGCCCCTTCTCCACAGTGGATGGAACGTCCCCAGCTGGCTCCATGGAGGCAGTCTCCATCCCCACGAAACACGTCGAACCGAAACACGTCACCCGATGGCGTGGAAGCGGCGCGGCATCGCCTCGGAAAAGTGGCTCCTCGTGGCGGTGCGGGCTGGTGCAGCGAGCACTGGAGGGACCTCCTCTCCTGGCGAGGCAGCGGACGTGATTGCCAATGGCCAGGCTGAGGATTTAGCTTATAGTTTGATCCCTGTTCAAGCCCTTTGACTGCAGTGGAAGTGGAGCAAGTCCTCGAAAAGGATAGGAAATGGATGTTCTTCCAACAAAAGCCATCAAATACCTCTATGATCATGAAGTGCTGGATGTTTTCGACGTTCGACGTCATCTCACTTGACACGTGAGGCTTCTCGTTTGAAGAGTCGTGGTGACGGTCGGTCGAGCCGCCCAATTGACGGTGGACTCCTGTAGGTTGAGGTGGTTTCGAGCGAAAACCAACAAACAAATATGAGGACCTGTGGGTGAAAAATAATGGCACAAATATATATAGTTGCATGATTGCTTCCATGCACGACGCTAGGGCTCCACCAGCTCGCTAGAAACAAGCCCCTCCCCCCCGGGCACGCGCCCACCTCAAGCACCATCAACGGAAAGGTTTTGGACCGACCAGCCATGGTTGGAGTATGTTGAAGTTGTACTCAGGGTTTCGGCTAAGAATGCCCCAGGGTTGTACTCCTGAAGGAAGGATGACCATGATTGAGGTTCTAGAGACACCAGGTCATCCTGCTGTTTATTAGTATGTCAAGGCGTTTCAAAGTAGGCGGGATAAAGTCCTCCAGCTGCAGAGTTAGTTCTGGTGTGGGGCAGCCGACTTGTCAATGGGTGTTTCTCCCCAATGTACGGGTATAGAACAGGATGGAAGCCATGCAGCCACTGTTGACTAGGAAGCCGGAAGCCACGTGACTCAAGAAACTAAAAGCATGGCTTCAACTTATACCGACTCTCAGATCCAGTTAACAACACCCTAGGGATCCAGTGGTACCGAACCTCAGGTTTGGTACGACTGGACCCTCCAGTCCTACATCACAGTGTCTCCGTCCTCACCGTACCTGAGGTTTTGGTACAAAAACGGATCCCTAGGGACAGTATACATAACACTCACTAATGCGGGGATCTTATCGGGTAATTTGCTGGGAATGGGAATCAATTGAGAGTGCTAAATCGGGAGACTTGAATGGAAGGGAACCAACGACCAGGTTGCTTCAAGGTCCCGAATCTACAGACCCCAACAGGCTTTCAGGTCAGCGCCCGTCCCACTTTCCCGGTCCAAAAAGTCCCCGTCCATCGCTGGCATCGCTGAAGAAGGTTTGCACCATGGTGGTGTCAGCCATTGTGGCCATCGCAACAGCAGAAGGAAGCCGGTGTTGGTGTTCGTGCGCCGCGGCGCCGCAAATTTGGTGTTCGTGCGGGCCCGTGTGACTTCGGGTTCCTTGAGTCTCTGAGGTTGAGGATACGATCCAAGAAAGAAAAGACATTCTGTGCCTGGAATGTATGAAGATGTATGTAGAACTGACCCAGTGAAGCCATGTGAAACCCGACTTCAGGATCTAAGGGGCGTCCAGTGTCCCAAACCCACCTGCGGTCGACCGCAGGAGTGTTCTCAGCTCTCGAAGTGCCAGCTCTGCGCTGAAGCCATGCAGTGGTGGAGTGACGGGTGGCTTTCGGCAGTGCCCCCCAAAACACCTGACTGTCCTGACTGATGCAAAGGCCTGAGTGGGAAGCTCATGTAACCTGCCTGGTGTTCCCCGACTTCCTCAGTTTCGTTTCGGAAAACAACCGTTAGCCGAAGATTCCACATGTTCTGTTCGTATCACATGTGGCCCCATGAGCCCCAAAGAGGGTGACCGGATGACCTGATCGACGGAACTGGGTAGGTCAAAGAAAGCAGCAGTCCTCAAGCTTTCCTTGACTCGACCAACGTGTTCCATGCCTGGTGGAAATGCCTGGCACGCACCAGTCTGGTGTGCCTTCATGCCTCCTTTTCTGGTGAAAGCTACTGTTGTGACCATGGGGCCAACATGTGTATGTATGTTTGGATTGTGTGCGATCCTTCTTTGTGACTGAGTCACATTTACTTGAAAGAACCATTGTTAGACATGAAGCCATCCATGGGCAGGGGAGGGAGAGCGGATGAGGTGTCATGCCACTAGCTCACAGGAATCCAAAATCCTTGTAGCTACATATGCAATTTTGTATAATTGTGTATTATGTCTTGATGAACGTCCCAACAAAGTCACTTATTCAAAAGCTCCCAGCCTTTACAAATAATTAAAAGAAAGGTTGGTCTGGTGCCGTAGCCTAGGATCCTTAGTAAAACAGCGCGCTTCTTCTTGGCAGTTAACAATCAAACACAATGGCGCTTGGAAGCCTGGCGTTTCTTTCGGGCAATCACAAGGACCACCGATACAGTCGTGGGCACCACAGAGTCCGTCTTCATCCTTGCTCTTCAGGGAAGTGGAAACGCATGACACCCCACCCCACTTGTGGTCATCGGAATTCATGGTCTTCACAAAACACGGCCGTGCCATCCACTTCCATGTGAGTTGCTGCATTCATCCTTAACCCATGCTTCGTTGTTGACCCGATCGCAAGAGATCACAAGGACCTGCCTGTTTCGTGTGAAGAACGAACTTGTTGCTTCAATCGAGCTGACACCGAGGCCATGATCATGACCCCCGGAGGCAAGGGTAGACTGTGGCTATTCGCAGCAACTCATACAAACAAGCATAATCAATCCATGATCATTGTAACTTCATAATCCGCATCCTCCGAAGCACTCAAGACCTCCTTTTTGCTAGGGCTCCAGTATGCTCCAGTCGTACCTTCTGAGAATGTGGGACTTGGGGCCGGCGTGCCATTGTCGGGTTCAGTCAATATAACTAACTTGTGAGGACGTATGACTAGGGCCCAGCGACGTGTTTGCATTCTTTTTCTCCAAAGGCGCTAAAGCAGCCCAAACCTTTGTCGGGCCAATGACCTGGCGCGAAAAACGACGCGTGTTCAGGGGTTGGACTCGCGAGCCGAACTTCGATTGGAAAAAGAAGTCGGTGAATCGAACGAGCTCCACCTGTTCCACCACTCTGGCGCCATGTTCGGAACGCACGAACTTGACACTCTGGACGGGGAGTGAACAAGTGGTAATACACGAAAGGAGCTACGACACCGCGACGAGGAACGTTCCAAACGTTCCACATTTTGAGCGTGGGGATCCACTTTTCACTCACTCCTGGGTAGGTTGGGTCCACTCAGGGTCTTCCAAAGAATGCAGTTCTCCGTGAAAAACACATGCAGTCCTTCACTGGGACTATCCCACCATATCCCCCCACAGGGAATTCATGTGATTTCTGCATTCCTGTTCCCCTTACAAGGTTCGACCCTGAGCAGGACTGATAGAAGTTGAAGTAGTCAAAATAGTTGTTCAAGCAATTTCTGCATGATTCTTCCGTATAAAGTCCAGTCTAACCCAGTAAAACACCTGGTCTTTTTACATCCTTTATGTGGTGTTCAGTGTTTTGTATGACCAACTCCAAATCGGTAGGCAGATTCAATCGATGTCATTGGGATGACAGATTGGTTCCTCAGGTCAGCCCGGAATCATGGATGATCATGAACCTCTATACCGAATCATTTTTTGGCCACCATGGTCCTCATCAAGTTCCGAGCTATACCCCAGTGCCCACTCGTGGCTCCTGGCTGCCCCCTCCGTGAAACGATCTTGCGGGGTCCAACCACCGAACCTGGGGGAGATGGGACAGGAGCCCTAGCAATATTTTAAGAAAGGGAATAGGAATCCATCTATCCCATGACCAGGGCCCAGTGGATGATGGTTGGTCAGGTGGCCAAAATCTCTAGAGTGATGTAATGGTGGTCCGGCTAATCAGCAGTGGTTGAAGTATGGCGGTTCAGCAATGGTCCATATGTTTGGACGGTTGCTGGTTCAACAAGCATCCAAGCCAATCTGTCCGGTCCATTGCCGCGGGCCATCTTTTTCGCGGCTCTTCACAGCCAGGAATTGGGTATAATCACAGCATCATGCAACGATGCGCAGTGTTCTCCCTTTTCGTTGGAATCTCGTTGGAATCACGACGAGTAGAGTGAGAACCAAGACCAGGGCCCTGTATGGCTGGAATGATTTTCGTTCCCCAAGGGGAGAATCACTGCCAAATTCTTCCATCACTACGTCTGCAGATCGTCGAGCGTCCTCACGTCTGCAAATGCAGTGGCTGGGCAGTCGCGCTGATTTGCCGTGAAAGGTGTGGCATGGAGGTCATGTCGCTGAGCAAAGTTGGGACCAAGAAAGTTGGGCTCTTCCAGGACCTTTCGGTTCGTGACCTCTATGGAGTCTAAGTGACCTCTTCAGGGACTTTTTGTGACCCAAAATCCTCGGACTCAGGGATGGTCATCCTGGTTGATAGGCAATCTGGCAATCTGATGCAATCTGTGTCTAGAAGGATGCAGCCAACTCTGGGGTTAGTAATGCTTGAAAAGCTTTATCGTGGGTGCTCGGCCCCAGATCTACCCATCATCCGTGCCCTCCCCCACGACCTCCATGCCAAGGGTACTGCACGCACCGCTGCAACGAACAAGCAAACTCTGGTGAAAAAGCAAATGAATCCTGGTCGTCAAGAACACAACATCGAAAAAACATGGAAGCCCCAGTCGGCTACAGAAAAACAGGCAGATCAATTGTGAGAAACATGCATCAAAATGCGGAAACCATCTGGTTGCACAGCCCCATCGGCCGAATGTGCCAAGTATATAACATCATGTCGCATATGCTCCATGGGACTGGCATATTTATCCAAATCTCAAAAAACAACAAACAAACCATACCTTCGGATTGGTTCATGTGTACTATCTACTCCAGGATGGTTGTATTCTATAAGTAGATCACCTGGTCTTCAGCCCAAATCGATCCAAATATTCTTTCCATGCATAATCAAGGTGTCTTCGCATTTGCTCATCCCTGAATTGTCCTGATAGGGTCATACCACTTTCGCGAGAGCCTAAATCTCCAAAGCGCGGTGTAAGAACATGTTCGAGTTCTCGCCTCAGAAATGGCTTCCGGTAGTGCACTGTTACAAATGTTACAAATGTACTCGTTTCCGGTGTTGGAAAAACATCTCGTCTCATGAAAACGTCTTCCTTATTTTGGGGGGGAAACGAGGGCAATTCATGTTCGAAACACAGTGCTTCGGTCACCGGTTGTGCCTTCGCCCGCTCGTCACCAGTCGCAGACTTCGCAGCGACGCAGCAGTCCGGGAGTGACGATCCCGCAGTGGGTGTGAGAGACCTGTATCAGACCTGCACGAGTCCTGTCCGAAAGGAGACAAACCCGTCAAAGCAACCTGACAGCAGGACTTCTTCACAGGTGATGTCCGTTCGCAAACGAGAAGAAATCGAGTCGATGCCACCAAACAACTCTTCACGGCCGGGAAGTATTTGATTCCAACAACCAAAGGCCACAAAAAGCAATCTGATGGTCCAAAAAACTCCTAGGATTTGCTGTCCAGGAAGCTGGGAACATTTATGACCCAGGTATGGGGATTGACCCAGTTCGAGAAAATACGACACCTCATCGTGCGGGACTGCTGCAGGGCAGTCAAGGGTTCCAACCCCGGAGCAGTGGGAAGCGCAAAGCGCCGAACCAGGAGTGCCGAAACGAGGTCTGCGTCCCAAGGACTGGTCCAACCAAGGAAGAAGCAACTTTGATCCCAATAACCATTCAACTGGCGCGAATACCACACAAACCTACCCAGAACTGGAATTCTGCTGGATTGGGATGTTTCCTGTATCCGAACCATTGTATCTGAATGTGTTTGATTTAATAACAATGCAACACCCCTGCTACCCAAACAAACCAACAAAAGAACTCACAGCATTTCCGAGGGCTGCTGCTCAATATACTGGAAACAAATTGAACACCAATATGCACGTCGATTGATCTTAAACAATTCTATAATAAGGGATTAGAGGGGTTTTGATTGAAAACACGTTGCCAATTAATCAAGTAATTTACTGCAGGACGGATTTGAAAACTGATCTCACATGGAAACCAGCTACAAATAGCAATAGAACATCAATTTGAAGATTTGCTATTAGAGAAACCTAGTTATGTCAAAAGCAAACAAGTGTTAACTCAATTGTTGAAAAAAAACACACACCAAAAAAAAAAATAACAAAAACATAAAGAAAACACACATTAGAACACCCGTATACTAATTGAGTTTGACAACTTTTCTGAAAGGGGCTCCAAGTGGACACCAATTAAACATTAAAATCAATCAAAGGAAGTTTTAAGTTGTGACCAAATACAAAACAACTGTTTAACTTATATATTTATTCAATACTTCTATTTGGAATCTATTTGGATCTATTTGGTTCC